GCTCAGAAAAGAACGGCAATGGAGGTGTAGTTTCCCGAAAGCGAGGCAGAACGTGTGCCAATCAAAGTTGCTAATTGAAAAAAAAAACGGTGTTACACAAAGTTTATAGTAAAAGACATATTATGCATAAAAACCATACTGGTGAAAAATAGTTGAAGGCAAACTAACGCTACATGAGGGAGAAACAACATCAAGAGATAAACGGACAGATCTCGGAGACAGAAGATCCAGCGTGAAAGTCTGTCTGTGTTGGACGAGATCCATTGCAGCCAGTGTTAATTGTTGAGACGAAACCTGGTTGATTTATTATGCGAAGATCTCAGATTGATTTATGAACATAGAGTAAATATTCAGCGAGGTACTATATACCATGCACAGGAGTTTTCAGAGTGAAGAAATTCCATCAAGAAAGCAACGGACCGTGGAAAAATTAATCTTGCTACTGTTAGCAGCCACAAGGTGTCTTTGACTACTGTGTTTCTGTACTCAGTTAAAGAAAACGGGACTCGTAAAATGTGTGCTTTATCTGTGGCCTGATAGTATACTACGAATATAAATGTTTTAAAATGAACTCCTACATTTCAGTTTGACCTTTAACGGCAAGACATAGTTTTGTCGTGAAAAATAGGGCTTCCGAGCGTCAGCCGACTTGTGTATTTGACCCACATTGAGGAAATTTGCGTCTCGACTAAAGACTAAATGACGTGTTTTCTTCTTCTGTTGTCATCTCACTGTTACCAGCTTGTAGCCCAGTGTCGTAAGTAAGTAAAAGTAAAGATCCCTTTCCACGCCTTTAGGCGTATACACAAAGAACTCGATCGAATTGCCGCCTGGTGTGATGGTTCCAATGCCTATGTCAATCCTTCGAAGGCATCAGTGTCATGGTTCTCTTTGAACAATCACATTGTCAAGTCGGACTTACCAGAAGTGAAAATGCGTGATAGTGTATTGATCAGAACCAATGTTATGGCGTTTCTCGGGGTGAGGTTCGATCGCAGCTTGTCATTCAGGGAACACGTTGACCATGTGATAACAAAGGCACGCAAAGGTCTATCTGCAATGAGGATTATGGCTGCTTCCAATATAGAGCAAAGACTACTAATACTTCTATTCTACGGTCTGGTCTTTTTCCCCATTGAATACGCTCTGGCCATCCTCACTCTCAGTGCTACCCAGATTGAACGACTCGAAAAGGTGCAAAATGAAGCCATGCGCATTATTTTGGGATGTACAAGAGACACATCCTGTGGAGCAATGAGGTATCTACTTGACTTTCCAACAATGAACCAAAGGATCAGGATGTGGAGGGCTCGGGCATATCTCAAAATATGTGCTGATAAGAAACACCCACTGCATCAAGCGCTTTTTAGTGAAAAGCGCGACAGACTGAAGAGGGGGAAATCGTGGCTAGGTCGGGCAGAAGATGTTATTAGGCAAATATGCAGCCTAACCGACATCATACCTGGTGCAGAATGGATACCTGTCTGTGCCTCAGGCGTTTATTTGTACATTTTCCTGTATTGTCACACTCAACAGGCTATGTAGAGAAGAGAATCCTGTTGCTGTTAATGCAGAGGTCAACCCTCTCATCTGTGAAAATTCAGACGAAGCAGATGCAATAATCTATACAGACGGATCCGTTATACGCCAAAGAAGAAGCGCATGGGCATTTACAGCACGCTCAGCGGGCAGAACAGTCAAAGAAGCCAACGGCGCCTTCTCCATGACAACCAGCAGCATGACGATGGAGGTGATGGCAGTGACGCAAGCGCTTTCCTGGCTTGAAACACAAAAATACACCCGCGTGTGTATACTCAGTGATTCAATGAGTATGATCCGGAGGGTTCAGGCAGGTTCAGTGCGAAGACAATGGCTTGAATCATTACAGAAGTCCACTGTGCGTGGAGTCACCTTTATTTTTGTTCCGGGACACGCAGGCGTCGATGGAAATGAAAGAGCTGACAGGTTGGCTGGATCCGCTATCACTACCGACGGTCAGCCTATGGATCATGCTGATATTATCAATGCCCTCAGAGAAATGGGAAGGATAGAGGACTTTGGTGGCAGTGAATCAACATCACTCGCCAGAATGGCAAACTTGGGAATTAAGATCGGTACAGCAAAAAACGAGACGCACACCAGACACGCCAGAAGACTTGTTAATCAACATAGAACTGGTACTATTAGCCATCGGACGTTAGGGTTCATACTGAATGGAGGTTCTGAGCACCTATGGACATGTCCGGAGTGCAATGAGGATAACCCAACTAACTAACTAACTAACTAACTAACGTATCGGGCATTTGGAAAAAGCGCCCATATTTTTATAGACCATCAGCACTCGGTGGGTAATGTGGTCAGCATTACGCCGGCTGTCTTTACTTTCCCAGGACAGCCCATCCTGGTACCCATTTTAGGCTGGGTCGACCTGCGGCGCCCCGTACCATGATAAAAATCCACGCAGCCAGCAGTGGGTTTCGATCGGGTTACGAGTCGGATTCGCAACGCCTAAGCCACGGACGCCGCGCCCAGTGTCGTGGTTTTCTGTGTTTGTCTTGGCTTATGGTGGCTTGAGTGATGGATTTGTTCAGCTTTTTGCAGTTTTCATCTACATCATTTGTCCATCTCTGTCTTGGTCTTCCACTCGCCTTCCTCCTAGATGTTTTTCTGTAAAAAAGTCTCATATGAGGTTTGGCCTGGCTGCATTCTCACTAGATGGCCGAACCATTTCATTCTTTGTCAATATAATCCAGACACGATCTTATTCCGATTTTCTCTCTAATGTTGGTGTTTGTAGCCCTGTCTCGTCTATTGTTGTTAGTGATCATGCGGAGACAGCGCATTTCACATGTAGTTATTTTCTGTTCTAGTGCCCTGTTCATTGTCCATGTTTGGCACTGATAACGTAAAGTAGGGATAAAGATGCCATTAATCATTACCTGTTTTGCGGAAAGGGAGACATTTGGGTGTCTAAGCAGTGGGGCTAACTGGTAGGTGACAGCATTTGCCTTCTGTACTCTGGCTTCTGTCTCTCTATCGAGTCTGCTAAATTATGTAAATATTATATCTAGATATTTAAACTTGCCTTGTATCGGTATAAAACATTCTTCTACAACCGATGGACCGCAAGTGTAAATAGATTGATGAACACTGGTATAACAATACTTTGGTAAGTCTCAGACGATAAAGGTTTAGGTTTAAACATCGGGTCAACATCATGGCACAAGGGTAGTAACCCAAAGGTGCTCCGTTCTGCTTCTAACTCAAGCCTGAGTCCGAAGAATCTAAGCGCAATGCACGACCGAGGATCCTGAAATACTTTGCGTAGATTTTTAACTCTAGATTTTGCACGGGCAGCGCTGTTAGGCTACTATTTTTGATTTCCAACTGCCAAGGGATTTTTGTCTTTACGTGCACAACAATTCACACGGGCGTCCGATCTTACTGCCCAGAGACCAGGGCAAATTACTAGAAGTACCTGAGAAAAAAAAATCCCAGTCTTCAGCAGGGCCTGAACCCGGGACCTCCAGCATGCCCGGGGTGTTGTGATATCGGTTCTTGAATCAACTCAACACACATCTGCTAGTAAGTAGAGTAAAGGACCCTTTTCCACGCCATCAGGCGTCTTTGGCATATAAGGCAAGACCTATATTTTATAGTCCAGTCGGTACTTGATGGATGATCTGGTCACTAAGCCTGAGTTGGTTGAGGGCATATGCTCCTTTGTGGGTTCGACGGCAGAAGAAGAAGGTGTTGGAACGGAAGTGACACACTCAACACTGTTATATAACTGTGGAGGTGGGGATGGGGATGCTGAAACGTCTTGAGCCTTCTAGGTTCCGGCACCCGTGCTCACTGACATTTACACGAGCGCGCATACACACATACACGCCTACGCACACACACACGCATACACACTTGGAGAGAGGGCTAAATACGTGGGGCATTGTTATAGTTACTTCATTATAGAAACAGTCGACATGCATGGTATTTCTAAGGTTGTCATTACACTGGGGACTAGACTGGAGATACTGCAAAGTTAAGATTCCTGTGGCCGTAGACACAGAGTTAAGGGCACTGATAGATCAGTGTTCACATCCGGAAGACATCATCGTGTACACAAATAGATCCGTGAAGCGCAGTCAAGGTCAGCATGGGCATACACAGCGCAAAAAATGCAAGACAAAGACAGCGGCGCTTAGTAAACGACGCCCGGCTCTCTAGCGTAGACTAAACCGAACTGCGCGGGGACCGGGTGACGCTTGTGGTCTGGGCTTACGGGGTAGGCAGGCAACTCACCATTTCTCCCAGATTTATTCGGTCACGAAATCAAGGCCGAAAGGTTGCAATATCCAGAATACCGAGCCTAAGGGTTAACAACTCATGGCTTCTGGATACTAAAAACCCAGGCAACTATGTCAAGCGTTGGAGATAACCGCTGCTTCTGAGTGCTAGAATGGGTAGCAGAGCAAACAGCCACACGTGCAGTAATTGTATTCACGAACTTGCTTCAGAAAATCGCAAATTGGCGGTATGCGCTCTAAATGGGTAGAAAGCATTCCAAGATCGCAATTAACCTCCCTCACCTGGATCTACACACATGGGTATGCTTGCGTAAAGGGTAATGAGCGAGCGGACAAACTGGCAGGCAGTGCGCCAAAGCATTTGGGGAGAAGCATGGACAGAGCAGATATCAACAACTCTGTACGGAATGGACTCGTGGATAACGACGAATCTCTGACCCTAACATGATTGCAGAACATGTGAGTAAAGCACGATGAAGCACGCATGTACCTCCTTCAAAGCCGAGGTAGGAGACATTTTAATCAACCTCTCCTGGGAGCAGTTAAAAGAAGTACCTTGGAGTGGCTGCTGCATCGGAGGACTGAGAACTTATGGGAATGCCCAGATGGGCAGTGACGTTGATTATGATTGCATAGCATAACATAACATAATTTCATTGTATTGCAAAATGTTTTGCACGTTTTCTTCGTTTTCAGAATGTCCCGAGAAAGACAAAGAATGTGAAAAGGATAAATTAGGCTACGACGCTATACGGCTGCTCCATCTGTTGATAGATGACGACCACAATGGAAACGTTGACCAGTCGGAAAGCGACGAGGTGAGTACTATGTGAAGATACCTTCCGATAAGAGTGAGAGATTATGTCCAGGGCGATAGGGAACGACAAAAAGGAGGGAAATATAGTATCGTCTTATATCCTTGGTAGCCATATTCTCAACAATATGACCCAAGAGGTTAATATTTATATGGTCTTTAAACAGTAACTGCCCTTTCTCGACGTCATTTGAGTTGCTCTATGACATTAGCGTGACATTTAGTCTGTTGATGGGAATTCTCTTTCTGTTTGCGCAGTTCAGGGTTGTAGAGTTCTGCAAACGGCTCTCTTATTGATCGTTAAGACTCCTCGCCTAAGACCTCTGTTGGGAAGCTTTGCACGAGAAATGACGTCAGCGTGTATACACATATATATATATACATACCGGATTCTTGTGTAAAATGCTGTTAAGACAGAAATCGCATAGATTTTCATGCCCACGTTAGGATTGTGTGGCAAACCACCTCCCCTAGCAAGCGATCGTTAACTCTTTCTTTGAACAAAAAATTAAAGCGAAAATTGTGTTCAGTCGTTCTTGATGTTAGAAATTGTTGTTGGCACCGTCTTTCCAGACGATAGTGTCAGTTTGTCCTATGAGGAAGCATGCGACTCACAGCCCATGGCGATGGCGAGTGTCACTAGCAAGACCCGCCCGCGTTAACAAAAGTCGTCTGCTATTATAGCATGCAGTTTTAGGATCGTTGTTTTTATCGTATTTAGGTTGTTTCTTCTCAGACGCTGAACTCTCATTCTTTCTGCAATCATTTCTTGTGTGGGTTCCGGGGCCGCATTGTGGGGAAAACAAGAATAGACCCACTGCCTCCCCAAAAGCATATCGTAAGAGTCGACTAATTGGGGAGTTTCCTTTGAAGTCGGAGTGCATCTGCCGGAGAGGCAAGGAACCAACAATCTGTATTCAAGAGAATGAGATCTGTAAAACTGATGCATACGCAACACTCAGGTTCTGGAGCAGGACTGCAGTTCAGTAGTGGACGATCGACCAGAACTTTCCGCCAGAGTGTGCAGCTGGTGAACGCGAAGAAGAAGAAGATTTCTTGCTTCATTCGCATTCCATTCCTGGTTTGCATCTTCCACGCAACATGGTCCATAGCATTTTGTTCCCACAAATCCACCTGAATACCTGTATCATTTATGCTCCGCTTACATAGATCTTTATTCCTTAGTAGAGGTCGACATCTTCTACCTATTAAAAGTTAATGAAAGTGAAACTTGGCTTTAAAACTCGACAGACAAACGACACAAGAAACTATAAGCACAGACGTTTCAACCGAAGTTGTTTCATATCGAATCCACATTGGATCTTTTTAGACAGTAGACGTCAGCTCTAGAATTGTGGCCCGTCCCCCACGCGCGCGCGCGCGCGCGCACACACACACACACTCGCACACTTGCTTCCTCACTCACACTTTTTCCAACGTCGTCTCCCTCTCTGCCCCTCCCCCGCCCCCTTAAAAAAATTTTTCACGCTTTTCTTTACTGAGACAATTTTGCTTTGTGTGTGGTCTCCTTCTCTCTCTCTCTCTCTCTCTCTCTCTCTCTCTCTCTCTCTCTCTCTCTCTCTCTCTCTCTCTCTCTCTTTCTCTCTCTCTCTGTCTGTCTGTCTGTCTCTCTCTCTCTCCCCCTCCCCCCCCCCCCTCAAGGAAAGCCTGTTGGATCATAATTGTTTATGACCGAAGATAGCAGAACAGGGAAGAAATAACATTTCATACTTCTGCAGAATTATTTTGGAGAAACTTGCCATATAGTTAAAAGGGCATACTTTATTTAAAACCTTACCAATTGTCCAACAAGAGCTAGCTATAACATTAAATGTAACTAGAAAGCTCAACGGAGGGAATTGAAAAGAAGCAGACAAATACAACCGAACGTTTCGACCAAAGTCTTTTTCAACGGAGTACTAAATACAAAGCAAACTGTGATAGGAAGACTCAGCGGAAAAGACAACAGAGCGTCTCAAAAACTAAAGCCAGCGTCATCACTTTAATTGTTCAGTAGTTCATTGAGGGACAGAATAGTTGGGTAGCAGCTATTAGCAGTCTCTAGTGAATATAGATGAAGAAATTACCACACACGATGTAGGCTTGCTTATCTGTTATATAATTGCACGTAGGAAACGATGTACAACTGTATTTTGATAATTAGATGAGAAAACCTCAGTGCGACTTTGGTAGGTATAATCTGCATAACGTCACTGCATAGACATGCAACTTGGCAGGGGGAAATCGTTGGCACTCGATCAGTGATTCCCAACCTTTCTCAAGACGCAACCTCAATTTTACTCGAAACATAAGAAACCCTTAACCACCGCTTTTATAAAAACAGAGGTCAGCGACTGCCTTTAAAAAAAAAATAAAAATAAGGCGTGTTCCGCTTTTACAAAAGCTAAGTAACTTGCAACACAATGCTGCCCGATTTGCATAAAGAGGTTGTCTGATAATGTTAAGCCTAGTTCCTTTCCAGACTTAATATTTAACTCTTTCACTTACAAGCAACGCCCGTTGTAAATAAAGGCAAAAAAGGACATCTTCCCACACCTTCGGGTGTGTTGGGTCATTTATGGCTAGACCTATATTTTATAGACCATTAAACGCCCTGTGTATAAATGAAGAGAAATCTGGCTGAGATAGCCATTGTTTTAGGAGAACAATCGGTACTGCAGTGGATTCCAGATCACTGTGGCTTGGGAGGCAGTGAAATAGCGGACAGATTAGCTAGAAGCGGCAGCGACATGCTGAAATCAAATAATGATTTAACCCACCGTGAGACTGAGACATCAACACACTCTAATACCCAGGAAAGGTGGCAGGGTCACGATCTCAACACAGAAGCTATCCACACAAATGGAGCAAAAAATGCATCGGCCCACCGTCCCACATCTTTTGCTAGCTAAAGACTCTATTCATCGCATCTCTAGAGAAGGACAGTGTGTTATATTCCAAGGACAGGGCACAATAAACTTCATCAACATATGTTCAAACGTGATGGTGTAGGAAACACGGATTCGTGTCCCTGCAGCTCAGAGCCGACAATGCTGAACATGTGCTCCAACACTGCGAACTGTATGCTGACAACAGAGACGCTATCTAGCCTGGTTCCAACCACAGTGAAGACAAAGCTGTATGGTACAAACAGAGATATGGACTGCACGATAGCTTCCATAAAGTCTACCGGCCTCCTTATATACGTTTTTTGACATAAGGATCGAAGAAGGAGAAGTACAAAGAATGAACTTATTAAAAGGAGTGGAAAGAATTGACCCTTTGTTAGAACTGAATCAATGAAGTTAACCACAGTACCTCATATATACAGTAATCAGTAAACTTATAGAAAGTCATCCGGTACAGAAAGAGTACAATAAAGTTTGGCACCGATCCAAATTTTGAAGTGACCCAAAAAAAAAAAAAAATGAAAACATCCTGTAACATAATTAAAATAGTTTATACGGTTTGACATGCATTGTCATGCATTCTGGTTTAAGCCATTTCCTTTTAATTGATCGAAAAACAGTGTCGCAATCGTTAATGCTTGCTCAGGATAGGAAGGTTTTCCGGAGTGTTGTTATGGCAGGGAGGTTCCGCGAGGGACATGCTACTGAATGAATGAATCGTTAATGAAGCATTACATTGTAACTAGTATAGAATAAGTAATTGTTAAAACAGTTTTTGTTGTGCAGTTTCGTGCTCAGTGAATTTACCACTAACAATTATAGTGGCGACTGCCCAGTAAACAAGTTTGGGAACCACTGCGCTGGTTGATAGTCGACTGTTGTTCTTGCTATTAACGTTGTGCATGGTGGAATGCTTGTCTGAGCTGTTTGCCACCACTTTGATCAGTTGCCATGACTACGTAATATCAGCAAACCTGACGCAATTCAGCATGTGCACTTTGTGTCTGTCTGTCTGCCTGTCTGTGGGTAGTTAGGTGAATTATATGAATTATATGAATGGCTCGTTATTGTTTTACATTGATTTATTCCAACAATAAAGTAAAGCACCCATCCCCACGCCGTTAGGCGTATAGGGCATAGAGTGCTACACCTATATTGTATACACCAACCGGCACTCGATGGGTGATGAGCTCAGCGTCACGCCGACCGCCTTTACTTCCCAGGACTTTCACATTGTACCAATTTAAGGCTAGGTTGACCTGCGAGCCAGAATCATTAAAAAAAATATTCAGTCTTCATCAGGAATTGACCCCACGATCTTCGAATCCGCAGACTTGCATTCCTCCAATGCACCGCGGCTGCTCCCCATTGAAACAATACTGTTCTGTTATATCTGGGAAGTCTCCCGTGTGGATTCCTGGGCCACAGTTTTGTTGACACATTTGGATATATGTATTTGTTGCAATTGCAGATGTATCTGACGGGTTGGTGATATTCAACCACTCATCGAAAAATGGTTGTAATCATTCAATTGGAATCTGACGATCCCAAAAGGCTACTGTCTGAACAGATTGTAATCCATCTCGGTGCCATTACTCGCCTTCCTCTTGGAGCACAAGTTCGACATAACTTTTTTTTTTTTTTTCAGAAATGAATGTCTACTTTTGAGAATGACTTTTTGAAGTGTAAATACTGCATTGTGATTTCAGTGTTAACTTCAGTTTGGGAGTAACAAGTTGATTTGTCTCCTAACATTTTAAAGATCTCACGTCTAATAATATCTACATCAAAGTCGACAACTTTTCTGTTCCTACCTTGCTTGATGTGAGTGTACTCTGGGCTATCCTCCGAATAACGGTCCCAAATAATCGAGGCCGAAAAAATACCTTAACAGGGCCTTAGTCATGTGTAAATGCGGACCTCTTTCCGGCGACTATACCGCCACCGCCGAGAGGATCCCCCTCACGAGCAAATAAAATGGGGGAAGCTGCAGGAGATGCGGTAGCTGCTGCTCGTGAGTCCCAGCCATCTAGTTTAGCTCCGCGGCTCGCGTAGTGGCGCGGGGGAAACTCTCGGCGGTGACTTTAACTTGGCG